TAGGGAGCAGAAGACCCAGGGCATGGCTGGCAGTTTCCCTATGGTGGCTTCTGGGGAGAAATAGAACACCCTGGAAATGGGTGACAATGGCACCACCAGGCTTGAGCTGGCACAGATGGATGTGCCACAACCTGAGAGTCACAGGTCTAGAGCCAGTGGTGCTGGACAGAGTGAGTCAGGATGAGACTCCAGAGGCAAGACTGCTTTGTGACAGCTATGTAACTTTATGCTAGTAACTTTGCCCCTCTGTGCCTCACTTTTTTCATCAATAAAATGGGAGCATAGATCTATATCCTGAGCTTAAGGGTGGAGTAAATGGAACTTTACGTGCTTAGCATGTAGCAAACACACAAGCAGCATGAGTCTAGGAGGAAGCTGCTGTTGGGTAACAGTATAGAGAAGCCCTGGGGCTTCCCTGAGTCACTCTGCCATAATCACACTGGTGGTTTGAGTGGCACTGATGCAGGTAAATGAGTAGATGTTTTACTGTATGTTCTTCACCATCTTTAAAAAGAACTTTACTATCATTAGCTTTTTTCCCTTGGACTAAAACCCCTTTAAACACTGATCAGATGTAGCAAGTTTTCAGAATTGCAGTCCAGCTCAAACTATTGAAAATTCCCAACCCCAAGAGATCATTTTGTTACCACCTCAGCCTCTGTTTAAACATTGTACCATGCAGCTACAGTAGGAAATGGAAGGCCACTGTTCCTTACTGAGCAGCCTCAGAGCCAGAGGAGAGAGTGGTCCTGCAGCTCACCTGGAGCGCACCTCTGCCTTCAGACAATAGGTGCATGCATGCCCTTGGTTAGACTGTGGCCAGAGAGGAAGGGACAGGAGCTGATTCATAAACACACTGGCCAAAATGCAAAGGCACATTATGAAAGGAAGAGAAAGCATGCTCTGAAACCTAAGGGGGAGAAAGAGGATTTTCGTCCTCCCTTTCGGTTTGCTCCAGATGACTGGTTGTACATTTCAGGTGTCCACGTTATATCAGCAGATAATTAAATCACACAAGGCAAAGCCGATTTCATGGGATTCTAGGACTTACTGAAGTGGCAAGAAAAGGGCTAGTTTCCTTCTTCTTGATTCTTTCTTCCTCTCTGCCATTGGATAGTGGGCTCCGGGTGTTGTTGGAATTGTGGAAAATATGACTCCCACTCACAGGACATTCAAGCTTGATAAATATGTCTTTATGATGCCCCCCCCACCCAAGTATCTGGAGGAGAAGTAAATTTTTCCCTATGCTCCAGGGGAATTGGGACCTGCTCCAGTATCATGAGAGGAGTGGGCTGGGGCAATGTCCTGGCTCAAGTCCCACTGCAAAGCCTGCTCTGCCCTGTGGCTACAGCATTTAGCTGGAGCTGCTAAGTGCTATAAAGCTCCCTGAGTAGCAAGATGGGCTGTGCTGGTCAGGTCTCCCTGGAAAAAGCAGAAATAAATCACACACCAGCTCCTACTTAAGATCTGATGAAATTCTCCATTTCCGCTCTAAATTGAATTCCTCCCGAAGGATTGTAGCAGCTCCTGGGAGTAATGAAGGCGCTCCTTCCTCCTCTGCTTGAAGCATGTTTTGAATTAGCGGACACAGCATTCTAATCTGGGTGGGTAGGTAGCATTAGGGAACAGTCTTGAGAAACTGTTTTCAGAGCAGACATGATATTTGTAATCTCAAGGGGCAGGCGGCAGTCATCCAATACCTTTGGCCTCTGTGAAGGGAGCAGCCTCCGCCACGCTGGTGGTCTCCTGGGAAGGACAACACGTGGCCTGCTGTGACTCCACACCAGCCCCCGCCCACCAAGCAGAGCAAAGAGCAGAACTGGGGCAGGATAGGAGCAGGAGGGGTTGTGCTTTTTGAGATTAAAGATGTCACTTTTCTGCTCACTCTGTGCTTGGGAAAAATGATAAACTCAGTGCTTGGGGGGGGGGCAGGATTGAGATTTCTTTTAGGCTGAAGGTATTATTGAAGTGGTTGTCTCCCATCCTCTGGAATGACAGTGGATTGACAGTTGGGCATGCATAGAGGCTGTTGACACAGACTCTCCCATGGGAAAACTGAAATGCACTTTCCAATGGGCCTTGTCAGAGTGAAGACTGATCACCAGCTGCTGACTGGGTCAGAGTAAGACTTGGGAAAGCAGGCCTGGTGGGGTGCCTGGCAGTGAGCCTTCCACTTCAAGGTTAAGGTGAGACTAGAAAATTCTAAAATTTCCTTTTGTTGTGAAGGTGACCAGGAGGTAGTCTACCTATCTATTGATAAAAGAATATTTACTATGATCCCTTGAAGTGAGCTTAAGAACATTATTAGAGTTTGTGTGTTTGTATGCTGTTAAGGAAAAGCAGTTTACTTTTGTTTTTGCTTTGTTTTGTTTTGTTGAGACAAGGTCTAGGCCAGCTTTGAACTACCAGTGTAGCCCAGGATAGCCTCAAACTCCAGGTCATCTTCCTGAGTGTCCCAGCCGCTGGGATTACGTGTGCTGGTCACCATCCCAGGCTGAAGAAAAACTGGTTTTTTAAAAAGGTAAGTGGTTTAAACAGTCTACTTACCTTGAGAAATTCTGACATTTAGAATCAAAAAAAGAAGGAAAGAACCTCTCAAAAGAATATTCTATTGATCCTTTATGTCAGAATTTTAGCACCCTTGAGACTAGTTGTCAAAACCTCACTCCATGTTTTTAATTTCATTTTAAGAAAGAAGCCATTTCCTTGGTAGGGAAAAGAACCTCAAAGGACACAAATAAGACCCAACTTTGGAGGACAGAGTGGGCTGCTTAGAGGCGTGAGAGTCGGAGTTCCAACTGGAAAACTGCTTGTCAGGGAGAAGTCATGTTTTCCACTGATAATAAGCGTCACTTATATGAAGTTAAATGCCCTTCCTTCCTATCTGGGGGATGTTTAAGCTTCAGTCTTCTTCAAAGGACAGTAGGAAATATTACTATCCCTGAGTGGGAAGAAAGGATGGAACATGGGAATTGGAAATGCAGGTTGGAGCCCAGCCATGCCAGGACGTGTCCTGAGCCCTCCTCAGGGGCGCCCAGGTGGAGATGGTGTGTCCAGGGTGGAGTGATGGGGAGGGAAGTCTGGTGGAGACAATAACAGACATGATATTTGTAATCTCGGGGGAAAATGTGCAAGGGCTGAAGGTGAAATGCCACCCTCCACAGGGCGGGTTTGTGCATTCCTTCAGGCCCTGCAGACTTCTGTGCTTGCACACATGGGCCTTGGCTAGGTGGCCAGGCTGGGACGAGCCAGCAGGCAGGTCATCCCAGGCAGTGGAAGCTTCACAACCGCCCTGTGGTAGAAGCGGCTGGCCTGAGCATCAACCAGCCCTCCAGTCTCTGTACCAGTGCGTGCAGGGCTGTCCTGCTCTGGCTGGCGGATCCCTCCCCAGCAGACTCGTCGAGGAGCCTGTTTATAAGGATTGAAGTTACTTCTGTTTTGTTTTAGCAGAAAGAGTGAACTGCTGCCAGCAGTATGTCTGGAATGTTATTAACTCGGTACATTTCTGTGGCTTTTCTTGTAGCTCTGCACATGCCAGAGCCCGGGGTCACTTACTTGAAAATGCCAGGTTGCAGTGTGTCTTCTCAATGGGGCCACGTTCTCAGGAAGAGGGAGCTAGTCCCGTGCCTCCCGTTCACTTGTCACCTTCCTCCCTCTCTTCCACCTCCACTGTACTTATTTATTTCTTCTGAGGTGTGTTTTGAACTGCTTGGTGCCTGCTGTATCATCCTTTGTCCTGGGTGTGTTGACTCCCCCCGTAATTTCTGGGGTTCCTGGTGGACTCCTCGGAGGCCCTGGCAGATGCCTTGCCATTGGCGTGCCTGGCCTGTTGTTATTCTTTCACATGAAAGCTGTCTCTCTTGGCAGACGCGGCTCCAGCAATTGCAGTTGAGCTCTCCGAGCTGAATGGGTAATGTTGTGCAAGAGGAATATAGGTGGGGTTTTCTCTGATGGTAGCTGTGGGGGCGGACGAGAAATCTGCAAGCAGTCTTGGCTTGTGCAGAGCTGACATGATGGCAAACAAATGGCTTTTGAAAGAAGGAACCAGTGTGTACGGTTTCTTAATATGGAAGGTTTCACAACCAGTTTTGTGCAGTGGATGGAGGAGAGATTTTTAAAGAGCAAATTCTTCCCTGGGAAGACCATCAACAAGCCCTGGATCAACAACAAATGCCGAAGGTGGAAGCAGAGGAGGTGTTCCGTTTGCCTCTTCTTCCCTCAGCCCTGCTCCTCCCTTTTCATCTCTGCAATTTTAATCACTGGTATTTGGGGCTTTAAAAGGAGGGATGGAAAATAAGATTAGATAAATCTCCCCCTGGGCTGCCAGCCCCGGCTGGCCCTGTGCACACCTGGGTAGGTTAACTCCCTACCTTTCTCCCCCAGCGTGATTTTGTTTTGTCATTTGAGTCTATAAGCACCTACAGATTCCACTGAAAACTTTTGTTTTCCAGACCCTTGGCCTTATCTGGGTCTCCTAGAAGTCTCTTTCTCCTTGGCACTTGTTAAATTGTTAACTCCTCAACCGGCTCCAGTGCGAAATGGAACATTTTTCTTGGCTTTCCCTGTCTTTCTGCATGACTTCTCAGTTCGTTTGTAGACTGCATGGGTTTTGGCCGAAGGGTCTTCTTTGATCACTCTCTTGACAGCGCAGACTTCTCATCCTCACACCTGCTTTTCTTTTACAGTCCAGATTTCAGAGTAAACGCTTCCATTGCCTTGTAATTTTTTCAGTATAAAACTTTGGTGCAGGTTACTTATTACAGGTAATAGCTACTTGATGACGGAGACAACTGCTGGCAGAAACGGCAGCCTGAACCGCGGCCAGAAGCATAACTGCCACTTGATTTAGGTCTGAAAGCATCTCAGCCACAAGTCTATCAGTCATGATCTGGCACGCACATCTAGTAACAGGCTCGCCAGGCTACGAAAGCCGCCTCCATGGGGCAGCCACGAGGACAGGCTCTAACAGGACTCCAATGTTTTCTCTCCATTATCTACAGCCCACACATCATCTTCCTCTCCCAGAGCACCTTGACAGGCAGGAGCCATCTCTGCGGGACCCGGCTCTGCCACGAAATTGCTCACGCCTGGTTCGGCCTGGCCATTGGCGCCCGGGACTGGACGGAGGAGTGGCTCAGTGAAGGGTTTGCCACTCACCTGGAAGACGTACTGTGGGCCCAAGCGCAGCAGGTGGGTTTCACATGACCCTGAGTCATCCCTCCCCAGAGTCAAGTCCCATTCAGGTCCTCTGTTCACTGAAGCATGCGTGCTGCGTGCACTAGGCAACTGCTTTCTCTAGGGAGATGGCGAGCCCCCCCCCCCCCCCCGCCCCTTTCGTTCACAGTCTAGAGGCAGGCAGGAGACAAACAGACAAAGCAGTGCCTGCCTGCCTGCCTAGCTCAGTGGAGCTTGGAAGGAGGGAGTGAGCTTTTTAAAAGCGATCAGATTTCACCCTTTTCATTTCTACTTGCATAGATTTGAATCTTTTCTTTTTAAAAATAAAATTGGCGAAGGGTATATCAATTTAGTTTAATCTTTTGAAGAGCCAACTCTTAGACTGATTGATCCCTTGTACTGTTTTCTTAGTCTCCACTGCAGTGATTTCTGCTCTGATTTGTATAATTTCCTACCTCCTATGAGCTTTTTTGGAAGCTTGAGGTTCAATGTCAGGTTATTTGTTTGAATTTGTTTTGTTTTCCCAAGGTAGGAATTTCCCTCAATAGGTCACATACACTTAGGTATGTTATTTGGCATTATCATTTAATTGTAGGAACTGTCTAGTTTCTTCTTTAGCTTCAGCAGTGACTCATTGGTTGTTCAGGAGGCTGTTATTTAATTTCCAGGTGGGTATGAAATTCGGTAGACTGGTGCAACCACTGTGGAAATCATGTGATGACTCCTCAAAGCATTAAAACTAGAGGTTCCATTTGACCCAGCTACTCCCCTTCTTGACGTCTTTCCAAAAGAATTAAAAGCATCATCCCACAGCCATGTGTGCACCCATGTTTATAGTGGCACAAGTTGTAATAGCTAAATCTTGGAAACAACCCAAGTACCCATCAACCAATAAATGGATAAAGAAGATGTGGAGGTTTTTTACACAGTGGAGTACTCTTCTGCTATGCAGAAGCATAGGCTTGAGACATTTCTAGTACATGGGTGCACCTGGAGACCACACTCTTAAGTGAAATAAGTCAGGCACACATATTTAAATACCTCATTGTTTCTCTGGTGTGAGAAACCGGAAGAGTAAATAAGTGAAATAGATATTGGGAAGGAAATGTTCAAATGAGAAGGGAACAAGGGAGAGAGCAGAGGGAAAAGAAAGAAGGGACAGGAAAAAAGAGAAAAGAACAGAAGGAAAAAGTAGAAACAAGACTTTTGTAAGTAAGAAGAAGAGGAGTTAAAGCGAGGACAGAGGTTGAGGAAAAAGAAAGTTAAGTTATACCATGTCCAGGTACAAATTCCCTGTGGTGAATGTGATCATTATGTGCATCTAGAAGCCCTCTAAGGAGAACCTGGAGCGGGCATAAAGAAGAGGTCGTATGCCACCCCTCCTTCGTCCTTATGGTTGTGGTGGCACTGTGTGTGTGTTAAACGATCAGACTGGGGTGTAAATCAGGAGTCACAGGCTCAGATGTCTGCAGCCCTCAACTAAGGCATGAAGCCTGAGGCAGCTGGGGCGGTAGGCTAGGGCATGCCGAGGACCGCAGCGAATGGGCAGCTGCTCCTGGGCTCTACCCAGCCGTTCTCATATTAAAGGGGCCTAATAGGGCTAGACTTTTAGTTTTGTAAGGAAATTCATACATCTAGATTTTCACGTGAAGTTTATGGATTTAAATAATACCATACAAATCAGGGGCTGGGGATGTAGCTCCAGGATACAGTGTGTACCTAGCGAATGTGACGCCATGGGTTCCATTCCCAGTACCTGCCCTGCCCCCAAACACATGTATGTATACACACGAGAACCCAGGGGCCAGGCCCACTCTGCACACGTGTATTTTATGTATAATACTGCACGTTAGAGAGCTGGCCTCCAGTGCTAATGAGGATGTGGCGGGTGAGCTGCCCTGGCTTACTTTCCAGTTACAGTAGTAACACTCCGGTCACTGCTTGTGGGTGCTCTCCCTGCCCTTACGTGGGACTGCCTGATGTCTGTGCATGCCCGGATGAAGTTGCTCACGGTGATCCTACTTGTTGAAACCCTTCCACATCTCACTAGCTAGCTCGAGGTACCTTCCCCAGAGAGCCCAGGCTGGCTGTGCCCCTCACAATTCTTACTGCTGCTGTCTAGAACTTTGACCCTCACGAGACTTGCTGCTTACCTCTTTGTCATCTTACTTCTGCCCTGTGCTTCTCTGATCCGCCCAGCTTTGATGCTGTCCTTTTTGAAGCATAGCTGTGTCTGGTCGTCCTTCTGTCCTCGTCTTGGCGTAATTGTTAGCCAGAAGGGTGCACAGCTGTCTGGTGGACATGGCCAGGGGGCAGTGGCTGGCTTCTGAGCTTTGAAGCTCAGTTCTGCCATTCACCAAGCTTCTGGGTAGAGGTGGGATACACACGGAAGCCCCCTGAGCCTCAACTTCCCCATCTGTGGATGGGATATAAGGCCTCACCTTACAGGGTGAATGGGCTGATGTGAGAGTGAGCTTCACACATGCCAGACATATGGCAGGTGTGCAGGAAACACCTGCCCTCATCCTCTGTATTCACACCGTCTTACACATAGCGGTCATTTAGCAGTGGAATGTGCCACTGTCCTGATCTCTGAGATAGTCAGACTGGTCCTGTTCTTGGCAACTGCAAGTATATTTCCGGTACTTAATAATGATATCTCTGTCATTTATCTCCTGTGTTATGATGAGAGAGCTCCTCCCTCTCCACCGTATGTGTGTGTTTGTATGTGTGTGTGTGTGTGTGTGTGTGTGTGTTTGTGTGTGTATGTATGGTTTTTGACACAGTCTTGCTTTGTAGTTCAGGCTGGCCTTGAGTTTGCAACAGTCCTCCTGCCTCAGCCTCCTGAGCGCTGAGATTACGGGTGTGCACCACCACACCTGGCTAGAGGGCTCACTCTTTGCCATTCCTTCCTCTACCTCCACCCCTTCATCTCCTCCTTTGGGTCTGGATCTGACTGCCCCAGCAGGTCCCCAAGCTCCCAGCTATGTACATCTGAGGTCATTCTGTGCTCCATCTGAAGGGCTAAACCAGTGAGGAGAGGACAAGCACTCTGTGGAAGGAGAAAATAAATTTGAAAAGAGAGGTAAACACCAGGTCTTGTGGCCATAGTGAAGAAGGTGACTTCTGCTATGGGCTGAGGGAAAGCAGGAACTTGGGTTCCTCCATTTCTCCTTTGCTCTCTTTCGTTTTGGGGTTCAGCCCACGGCGCCATCCAACTTCAAGATGCAAAATCACAAACGTTCCTCAGGCAGGTGGCCCTCCCAGATCCCAGCGTGGAGTCTGACAGCACTTCTGGCCATGTCTGTTCCCCATGGACTCTCCTCCCAGGCCCTGGCTTGGGACGGTCTGGGCCTGCTGAGCACCTGCTTCAGATCCTCACGGGCAGGTGCACTCCGTGGGGTGCTGGCACTGCTGGGAGTAGCGAGTGGCTCCACCAGCGAAGAGGGTGTGAGGACGCATCGGTGGCAAAGCCTGTTTCAGTCACCTTGCTGCCAGCGAGGCTGTGCCCTTAGCGCCCTGAGTCTCAGAAAGCACAGTGAGGAAGGGGGAGAAAGCCTGAATCAGGACCGCAGCCCAGCGGCCCATCAGAGCGCTATTCTGCAAAAGGAGCTGAGTAGTGAGGCTGAATCGCCTGGCAGGCATTTTCTCACAGTTCTAAAGGTGTGCAGTCCTCAGTCCAGCTGTTTTCAGGGGTCTGGTGAGGCCTCTCCTTTGACTTTTGGATGGTTTCTTTCTCAGCCCCTTCTCCCGTGAGCGCCCCCTTGTGCTTGAGGACCCAGCTGACCGCCAGTGTCCCTTTCTTATAAACCACGGCGCTGGGAGGTTACAGGCCCACTCTCATGGCCTTGTTTGACCATAGTCAACTGGGACACTGGGGCTAGGGCTGGGGGCACCATGTTTGGTTAGAAAGAATAAGCACCAAAGTCTTTGCTTATCGGGCCTGGGCTGGCTTCTCAGCACTGCCCTCCCTCCTTCCCCAGGGAGAGTGGCTCCCAGCCTGACCACCTTCTCTGGCCGGCTCCTGCTTTCACTGAGGAAAGCTTAGATACCACCACCTCCACTGACTGCAAGGAGGCACCTACTTCCTCCGTCACTGCTGTACCCTTCCACACTGTGTTGTTGGGGTCTTCACTCTACACTGTGTTAGAGCTGTGTCTGTAATGTCCCCAGGGCCAGCAGGGACTCAGTAGGTATCTGTCGAATCAATCGTTAGAGTAATTGGGTTCCCGGAATAAAACCCATGTGCTTCCCCTCTCTAATAGTCCTGCTGCCCTCCTTTGCAGAGATCATAGCAATGGGGCCCAGCGCCAGCAAGCGCATCCACAGGGCAGTGGGGGCTTTGACTCAGTTGGGCAGAGTGTGACGGGCTCCCTGCCTCCAACCCGAGTCCAGGGAAGACACTGTTTCTGGTTATAGGCAGACAGCATCATCTGGGTTGCATTAATGGGCTCCACTATAAACAGTCCCTCCCCAAATTGAGGGCTGGGAAAACAGGAGGTAAATGGAGAGACCTTCCCCACCCTGCTACGGAAGACAGAGCAGGAAAGCAGGGCCAGGGAGATTAAAGTGGGGATGTCCCCAGGGGAGCCCCCTCTCCAGGGCCACGTGTGTGCTGAGGGGTGGGTTCCAGGAACCAAGACCCCTCCCAAACAGGCTGGCCCAGCTCCACCCACCAGCCTGAGAGCTGTTCATGAGAGGAACCGGGCATTCCAGTGCCCCTTGCCTGGCTAAGGAAGAGCCAGGTGAAGGCTGGGAGTAGGTCTGCCTACGACAATGACGGTGTTTTGTGCATGTGTGTTGGTGTGTCTGTGCTCAAGCAGCTGGCCCCCCACGAGGCCTGGGAACAGCAAGAGCTGAGAGCTTGCCTGCGCTGGCACCGCCTCCAGGACGAGCTGCGGAACTCCCCCGAGGAGATGCAGGTGTTAAGGTAAAGTGCCTCGTGCTCCCCTTCCCTCTCCACCCCCTTCACGCTTTCCAGACACATCCAGGCCATCTGACTAAATCTGCCCTGTTTCTTTTTAAAATCAAATCCGGCTGGCGTTATGCATCCTCCCAGGGATGTGATTGTTACAGTTTTAAGTCTTTCAGGGTGTGGGTTTTTGATTTGCCTTCTGACATTTTCCTGGTGTCTCTATTCAGGAAAAAACTAGCAGGAGGCCATTTCCGGGACCAAATTCTTTGTTTGAAGTTCTAATAGTCACTTTATGTGGTGGCTGAGGACATGGAGAAGGTTGAGGTTTGGCATCCCAGCAGACAGTAACCCTTTAAAGCCAAAGGAGAAAAAATCTTTAGGAAAATATTGATTCCTAAGTGTTTAGTAGTAACAGATGTGCCTGTCAGTGGGGCCTTTTGTTTCAGATGTAGCCCAGCAGGAAGCCACTGCCCCTTTCTGGAGTATTAGTATGAAGACTCTACTCACAGCTCCTGAGTTTTGTTTTTAAAGTGTGGTTTGCCATTTTCCAGTTTTTTTCCCTCCCTGCTTTGCTCTCCCTTCACTCTTCTAAATAGCTGTTATCTGAAGCCCCAGACCTAGGCCCCAAGAGCACAGAGGTTGCTGTGTCAACAGAAGCTTCCATCCAGATCCCTCTGAAGAGAGTCAAGTGTTTGGGACCTGCAGCCAGCCAACTGGGAAGGTGTAGAGCCATCCGGAAATTGTCCCTTCTCCACATCCTATTTTAGCTAGCTTTGCTGGGGAGAGGTCTGTCACAGAGGGCTCTGCTCTTGTGTTTTGTTTTGAGACAGGGTCTTGCTTTGTAGCACAGGCTGATCTTGAACTCACTATGTAGCTCAGGCTGGCCTCAAACTTGAGACAGTCGTCCTGCCTCAGCCTCCCATGTACTGGGATGACAGGCCTGTGCCACTGTGCCCAGCTCCTGTTGTGGTTTGTTTTTAAATGAGTATCTCTACCGCTTTGCTTGGGAGCAGAGAGCAGACCAGGCCCCAGGGAGAGGCTGCCTGGTGCTTTTGTGCAGCCCTGTGCCCTTCCCACGGTGAAATTCCCGTTCTTGCACACAAATGTGCCTCCCACGCTGACTCACCCATTGTTTAGCAGAGGCAGCTGGAGCAGTGGTAAGCCCACCAGGCTGGGAGCCAGGAGACCTGTGATCCTGCCCCAGCGAAGCTCCCCCGGCCAGGATTTACTGATCCAGCCAGGACGCTTCCCAACAGCCAGTGGTCCCCACCCGCACGGAACTTCCGTTTAGTGGGAATACTGTTGCATGCACAAGCGGGTCAGACAGTGAGCAGAATTACAAAGGGACTACTTGATGATTGCTAAACTCAAGACTGAGCTGGGCGCGTCCCCAGCCTGGCAGAGCACGGAACACAGAGGCCCTGAGGCAGGAAACTGCTTTGATGTGCTTTGGGGACAGAAAGCAGGGCAGGCTTCAAGTATTTCCCTGTGTTATCTTCCAGAAGTTTCAAAATTTAAGCATCGGCATAAGTCAAGACTTCCTGAATAGGACTCCATAGCGCAGGAAATAATACCAAGAATCAATACATGGGATTGCATCAAATTAAAAAGCTTGTGTATGTAGGAAAAACAGCAAAGAGTAAACCCTGAGAATGGCAGAAAAGTTTGCTAGCTACTCCTCTGTTAAAAGATTAAGGTCTGGAAAATACAAAGAACTCAAAAACTTAACCACTGTCTGAAAACAAATGCCCCAGTCAAATAATGGGCAGATGAACCGAATGTATACTCCTCAGAAGAAACACAAGTGGCCAGGAGAAAACAGTCAGTGTGTTTGGCCATCAGACAGATGCCATCCAAGGCTCCACTGAGATTTCATCTCACTCTGGTCAGAAATGGCCCTCACGAAGAGCATAGAAGTGATGAAAGCAGCTGAGAATGGGTGCAAAAGAGGGGAAGGAACCGTCCCCATTGTCAGTGGGGCTACAGACTAGTAAAACTGCTATGGAAATCACTATACGCATTCCTCAAAAACCTGTATAAATAGCGGGGTGTTGTTCAGTCACACGGAATGAAGCCACGCTATCAGCAGGAAAGTGGCTGGAAGTGGTGGCCATCACATCTGAGAAACGTGCCTGACTTGGAGGGTTAGAAGCTACCTGTGTACCCTTGTGTCACAAACCTAAAACATATATAATAAGTAATGAAAATACAAGCGAGATGGTGGGAAACTTGAAGGTAGACTTGTGGAGATGGGGAAGAGGGTTCAGGAGGGAGAAGCGGGAGGAATTGAAAATGGTCAAGATACGTTACATGCACATAGCAGAATGAATAGCACTGTTCTGTTTTGCAAACATGCACTGATAGCAAAAAATAAAGGAGGGCAGAACAGGCAAGAACCAGGGAGGGCACAAGAGTCGTGGAGGCCTCTGTGGAGTCTTTGCGGTGTGTGTAGGGGTTGCTCTGCCCTGGTAGCTTGGCTGTGAGCTGTGCACAACAGGACGAGGGCTGGTATGTTGTCCACACGAGAGGTCCCAGTGAGAGCAGCAGCAGATGCCTAAGCAGACGCATCAGAGATGTGCTCTGGTAGGTTTCTGTTAACCATGCATAGAGAAGGCAATGAGAACAACCAGAATGACTTTAGGTTTTTGGATCGGGCAGTCGGGGAAATGGTGATAGAATTGTTTGAGATGATAAAGACTGGAGGAAAGGCTTTGGAGGGAAAAATAAACATTCCAGCATTGCTGATGCTAAATTTGAGATGTCAAATAAATACAATCTGTGTTAAGAACTCAGTGGAGGGCACGAGGTAAAGGCTCATTGGAGCAACCAGCCTACAAAACATGCAGACATCTGAGCATGCGGAAGTCACCAGGGGGGCAGGAGAAGGGATGGGAGGAAGGTGAAGAGCCAGTGGAGGACCTGGGGAGATCAGTGTATGTGTGGGAAGGGGCAGAGCTTGGGGATCACGGAGAAAAGAAGGTGACAAGTTGGGAGTGGCCATTGGGGTGGCGATGCTGCTGAGAGGTGTGTGAAAAGGAGAGAGAAGTGACCTTCAGGTGGGACTACATGAAAGATGTTGGTGACCTTGACATTCCTGGATTTATCCAAGAGCAATGGAGAAAGAAGCCAGACTGAAGGGGACAGCAGAGTGCGTGGGTAAGCAGGTAGCATGAACCTAGTGGGGAGGTGGGCTGACTAGGACAGCTGTCCTGGGAAGCCACAAAGGAAGGTAGTGAGTGGTTCGAGAGTTTTGCTGCAGGGGGCACTCAACCCAGGAGCATGCTGAAGTGTGAGCTGTGTGTAGGTGTGTAAATCCCTAAACCTCTCAGACTCAGTTTGTCAAGCAAAAACGTCATCTCCATTCTCCATGCTCCTAAATCCCTTTCAAGCCTGTGGCTCCTCTGGCAGCAGCGGGGTGGGGGCAAGATAGGGGGATCCTGCTGACTATGGATGGGTTGGTGACGTGATTCCAGCTTGGGAGCAAGTCAGTCTGCCCCAGGAAGTTAGCTCCAGTGTGAGGGACCCTCAGTGCAGGCTTCCCTGGAGCTGCAGTCCAGCCCACTTTCGGAAGATCCAGTCCTTTTCCTTTGTGTGTAGAGTTGGGAGAGAAGATATAGTATTTTTAGACCTTTATGCTAGAAAGTTTATTGTGACATTTATTTTTCTTTGTTTTAATATTCAGAAATTGTGTTAGCCTAATCATAAAAAACAACTGCATTTGAAAAACTATTACACATCAGTAGGGAAAATATTCTTATCAGATACGCTTTTACAATGAAGAGGAAATGTTTCTGAACCTGCCTCCAATTGTACAGTCCAGGTTCAGTTTATTCCCACACCCTAGAACTCTCCTTTAAATCACAGCACAGAGAACCCAGAAATAACGGAAAATGAAATGAACCAGGGTTGTAAAAATTTGTTCTCAATTTTTGTTTTAATATGAAAATGAGGTCTCTGAGATACTAGTCCTTTAAACAGTAGAGATGTCTTTTCTCCCCCTTTGTTTCTTTCAAGGTATACCAGGGTTTTGAAGTCATGAACCAAGAGCAGTGTACAAGTTGTGCTGTGTCTTGGTAGGTTGCTCCCAGTTTGCCAAAACAATGGGCGCTTCTCTTAATGGTCTTTGTCGCAGCTTTCGCCATGGGTGACTCCTCCATCCTTCTAAAAACGCTTTCTTTTCTCAGCTTCTGTGTGTCACGGTGTCCTTGATTTCCTGCTAACTTCACTGACCACCCCTTCCTCACCTCTCTTGCCAACAATTTAATATCACTTACATGATTTGAGGCTCAGCAAGACTGAATAACATGTCCAGCATCGTCTCGCTGGAAAAGGGCTGGGATTTAGTTCAGTGGCTTAAGCACCTGCCTTGCAAACGTGCAGTCATGAGTTCAATTCCCAGTACCGACAAAAAAAGAAAAAAAGAGCATATAGTTGGTAAAGAAGAGAATGGACACAGTGGGCATGCCTGTAATCCCAGCTATCAGGAGGCTGAGGCAAGAGGATTGCAAATTTGACCCCTGCCTGGCAACTTAGTGAGACCCTGTCGCAAAATGGAATTTTTAAAAATGGAGTGGAGATGTAGCTCAGTGGTAGAGCACTTGCTTAGTATGTGCAGGGATTAATCTCCAGTACTAATAAAACAAAACAAAACAGCAGGCATTGAAAACCAAGGAACCATCCTTTTTTCCTTGTATGCTACACTTCTGGCTTCAAGGAACTCATCACAGCATTTGCTGCATAAGAATGAGAGAGAGAAAGAGAAAGAGAGAAACTAACTGAATCTGGGAGGACACACAGCAGGTCCTATGGGCAACTTCACCTTTTAACATCTAAACACATGTGTGTTATTTCACATGTGTTTAGGATGTTGGGAAGGAAGAAACCTGCATTTTGTTGGTTGTAGACACAGGAGTACTAGCAAAGTGCGAAGAGAAAAATTAAATCTTGCTTGGCTCATACTCATTAATTTCAGTAATTCATACAAACTGTTTTCCTTCCTGAATTATGCCCTCCAT